CAAAAACTTAATACACGGTTAGATTCAGCATATTAAAGAACCCCAAGAATTCAAGAATAAAACCCCATTGAAATTGGTCAAGAAATAAGCAATTAATGCGAAGAATCTTCTTTTGCACAATACTGTGCAATTAAATATTTCTTGCTATTGCACAATACTGTACAATTGACAATTTCTTGCTATTGCGCAATATTGTGCTATTGGATATTTCTTGCTATTGCGCAATACTGTGGAATCGAAGATTTCTTGCTATTGCGCAATACTGTGCAATTGAAGATTTCTTGCTATTGTGCAATACTGTGCAATTGAAAATTTCTTGCTATTGCACAATACTTATTATATGATAATTTACACATCCTGTTTGGTGTGTATCTCCTACCATATCATTATTATTTGCTTTTAAATATAAATCAGAAATAACCAACTTAAAATGGAAAATTTTAAAAGAAAAAAATAAAATGCTTCGCTGGGCGCAGCTTGATACGACCGCAGAGGTCGAACCCTGAACAGTTGGGGCAAGTATGGACACAACATTCAAGCTTGATACAGCTCTGAATTTGGATTGTGATTAAATATTTGACACAGCATAGGTTCTGACACAGAAAGAATGTGGTCTAAGAACTTCAATTTTTTTAATTTACCTATTATGGTCCAATGTCAAAAAATCAAAATACATGGTTAGATTCAGCATATCAAAGAAGCCCATATATTCAATTTTTGTTGAAATCAAACAAAGTTTAATTTTGGACCCCAACTTGAACAAACTTGAAAACTGGTCCCATAATCAAAAATCTAAACACATGTTTAGATTCAGCATATCAAAGTACCCCAAGAATTCAATTTTTGTTAAAATCAAACTAAGTTTAATTTTGGACCCTTTGGACCTTAATGTAGACCAATTTAAAAAACGGGACCCAAAATTAAAAATCTAAAAACACGGTTAGATTTGGCATATCAAAGAACCCCAATAATTCAATTTTTGATGAAATCAAACAAAGTTTAATTTTGGACCCTTTTGACCTCAATATGAACCAATTTGATAGCGGGCCCACAAAATAAAAAATCTAAATACATGGTAAGATTCAGCATATCAAAGTACCCCATATATTCAATTTTTGTTGAAATCAAACAAAGTTTAATTTTGGACCCCAACTTGGACCAACTTGAAAACTGGTCCCATAATAAAAAATCTAAACACATGTTTAGATTCAGCATATCAAAGAACCCCAAAAAATTCAATTTTTGTTAAAATCAAACTAAGTTTAATTTTGGACCCTTTGGACCTTAATGTAGACCAATTTAAAAAACGGGACCCAAAATTAAAAATCTAAATACACGGTTAGATTTGGCATATCAAAGAACCCCAATAATTCAATTTTTGATGAAATCAAACAAAGTTTAATTTTGGACCCTTTTGACCTCAATAGGAACCAATTTGATAGCGGGCCCACAAATAAAAAATCTAAATACATGGTAAGATTCAGCATATCAAAGAACTCCATATATTCAATTTTTGTTGAAATCAAACAAAGTTTAATTTTGGACCCCAATTTGGACCAACTTGAAAACTGGGCCAAAAATCTAAAATCTAAATACATGTTTAGATTCAGCATATCAAAGAACCCCATATATTCAATTTTTGTTGAAATCAAACAAAAAAAGTTTAATTTTGGACCCAAACTTGGACCAACTTGAAAACTGGGCCCATAATCAAAAATCTAAACACATGTTTAGATTCAGCATATCAAAGAACCCCAAGAATTCAATTTTTGTTAAAATCAAACTAAGTTTAATTTTGGACCCTTTGGACCTTAATGTAGACCAATTTAAAAACGGGACCCAAAATTAAAAATCTAAATACACGGTTAGATTTGGCATATCAAAGAACCCCAATAATTCAATTTTTGATGAAATCAAACAAAGTTTAATTTTGGACCCTTTTGACCTCAATATGAACCAATTTGATAGCGGGTCCACAAATAAAAAATCTAAATACATGGTTAGATTCAGCATATCAAAGAACCCCAAGAATTCAATTTTTGATGAAATCAAACAAAGTTTAATTTTGGACCCTTTTGACCTCAATAAGGACAAAGTTGATAACGGGGCCCAAAAATCAAAAATCTAAATACATGGTTAGATTCAGCATATCAAAGAACCCCATATATTCAATTTTTGTTAAAATCAGACTAAGTTTAATTTTGGACCCTTTTGACCTTAATGTAGACCAATTTGAAAACGGAACCAAAAATTAAGAATCTAAATACACGGTTAGATTCGGCATATCAAAGAACCCCAATAATTCAATTTTTGATGAAATCAAACAAAGTTAAATTTTGGACTCTTTGGACCTCAATGTGGACCAATTTAAAAAAGGGGCCCAAAATCCAAAAACTTAATACACGGTTAGATTCAGCATATTAAAGAACCCCAAGAATTCAAGAATAAAACCCCATTGAAATTGATCAAGAAATAAGCAATTTATACGAAGTATCTTCTTTTGCACAATACTGTGCAATTGAATATTTCTTGCTATTGTGCAATACTGTACAATTGACAATTTCTTGCTATTGCGCAATATTGTGCTATTGGATATTTCTTGCTATTGCGCAATACTGTGCAATTGAAGATTTCTTGCTATTGCGCAATACTGTGCAATTGAAGATTTCTTGCAATTGTGCAATACTGTGCAATTGAAAATTTCTTGCTATTGCACAATACTTATTATATAATAATTTACACATCCTGTTTGGTGTGTATCTCCTACCATATCATTATTATTTGCTTTTAAATATTAATCAGAAATAACCAACTTAAAATGGAAAATTTTAAAAGAAAAAAAAAAGGAAAAAAAGAAAAAAAAAGAAAAAAAAAAATTCCCCCCCCAAATTTTTTGAACCCCCTTATGATTCATCACCCCCAAACTCAATCCCAGCCTTCCCTTTGTGGTATGGTACCTTGCAGTACAATTTCAGAGAGATCCATACACTTGAACACAAGTTATTGTCTGGAAACTAGAAAAATGCTTATTTTTGGCCCCTTTTTGGCCCCCAATTCCTAAACGTTTCGGGCAATTACCCCCAAACTCAATTCCAGCTTTCCCTTTGTGATATGGAACCTTGTAGTACAATTTCAGAAATATCCAAACACTTACACACAAGTTATTGTCATGAAACTAGAAAAATGCTTGTTTTTTGCCCCTTTTTTGGCCCCTAATTCCTAAAATTTTGAGGCAATCACCCCCAAAATCAATTACAGCCTTCCCTTTGTGATATGGAACCTTGTGGTACAATGTCAGAGAGATCCATACACTTACACACAAGTTATTGTCTGGAAGTTACAAAAATGCTTATTTTTGGCCCCTTTTTGGCCCCTAATTCCTTAACTGTTGGTACCATAACCCCCAAAAACAATCCCCACCTTCCTTTCGTGGTATTGAACCTTATGGTAAAATTTCATGGAGATCCATTCACTTAAACTAAAGTTAGAGTGCGAAAACCAATGTGTCTTCGGACGACGCCGGACGACGACGACGACGACGACGACGCCGACGCCGACGCCAACGTCATACCAATATACGACCAAAAAATTTTCAATTTTTGCGGTCGTATAAAAAGGAAAAAAAGAAAAAAAAGGAAAAAAAAAATCCCCCCCCAAATTTTTTGAACCCCCTTATGATTCATCACCCCCAAACTCAATCCCAGCCTTCCCTTTGTGGTATGGTACCTTGCAGTACAATTTCAGAGAGATCCATACACTTGAACACAAGTTATTGTCTGGAAACTAGAATAAAATGCTCCGCAGGGCGCAGCTTGATACGACCGCAGAGGTCGAACCCTGAACAGTTGGGGCAAGTATGGACACACCATTCAAGCTTGATACAGCTTTGCATTTGGATTGTGATTTAATATTTGACACAGCATAGGTTTCTGACACAGAATGAATGTGGTTTAAGAACTTAAAAATTTTAAATTGGACATTCACCTATTATGGTCCAATATCCAAAATCTAAATACATGGTTAGATTCAGCATATCAAAGAACCCCAAGAATTCAATTTTTGATGAAATCATACAAAGTTTAATTTTGGACCCTTTTGACCTCAATGTGGACAAAGTTGATAACGGGGCCCAAAAATCAAAAATCTAAATACATGGTTAGATTCAGCATATCAAAGAACCCCAAGAATTCAATTTTTGAAGAAATCAAACAAAGTTTAATTTTGGACCCTTTGGACCCCAATGTGGACCAATTTCAAAACGGGGCCCAAAATCCAAAAACTAATTACACGGTTAGATTCAGAATATTAAAGAACCCCAAGAATTCAAGAATAAAACCCCATTGAAATTTTCAAGAAATAAGCAATTTATAAGAAGTATCTTCTTTTGCACAATACTGTGCAATTGAATATTTCTTGCTATTGCGCAATACTGTATAATTGACAATTTCTTGCTATTGCGCAATATTGTGCTATTGGATATTTCTTGCTATTGCGCAATACTGTGCAATTGAAGATTTCTTGCAATTGCGCAATACTGTGCAATTGAAGATTTCTTGCTATTGTGCAATATTGTGCAATTGAAAATTTCTTGCTATTGCACAATACTTATTATATAATAATTTACACATCCTGTTTGGTGTGTATCTCCTTCCATATCATTATTTTTTGCTTTTAAATATAAATCAGAAATAATCAACTTAAAATGGAAAATTTTAAAAGAAAACAAAAAAAAAAGAAAAAAAAAGGCAAAAAAAAAAATCCCCCCCCCCAAATTTTTTGAACCCCCTTATGATTCATCACCCCCAAACTCAATCCCAGCCTTCCCTTTGAGGTATGGTACCTTGCAGTACAATTTCAGAGAGATCCATACCCTTGAACACAAGTTTTTGTCTGGAAACTACAAAAATGTGTTTTTTGGCCCCTTTTTGGCCCTAAATTCCTAAACATTTAGGGAAATTACCCCCAAACTCAAACCCAGCTTTCCCTTTGTGATATGGAACCTTGTAGTACAATTTCAGAAAGATCCATACACTTACACATGTTACACACAAGTTATTGTCCTGAAACTAGAAAAATGCTTGTTTTTTGCCCCTTTTTGGCCCCTTATTCCTAAAATATTGAGGCAATTACCCCCATCATCAATCCCAGCCTTCCCTTTGTGGTATGGTACCTTGCAGAACAATTTCAGAGAGATCCATACACTTGAACACAAGTTATTGTCTGGAAACTAGAAAAATGCTTATTTTTGGCCCCTTTTTGGCCCCCAATTCCTAAACGTTTTGGCAATTACCCCCAAACTCAATTCCAGCTTTCCCTTTGTGATATGGAACCTTGTAGTACAATTTCAGAAAGATCCATACACTTACACACAAGTTATTGTCATGAAACTAGAAAAATGCTTGTTTTTTGCCCCTTTTTTGGCCCCTAATTCCTACAATTTTGAGGCAATTACCCCCGAAATCAATCCCAGCATTCCTTTTGTGATATGGAACCTTGTGGTACAATGTCAGAGAGATCCATACACTAACACACAAGTTATGTCTGGAAGTTACAAAAATGCTTATTTTTGGCCCCTTTTTGGCCCCTAATTCCTTCACTGTTGGTACCATAACCCCCAAAATCAATCCCAACCTTCCTTTTGTGGTATTGAACCTTGTGGTAAAATTTCATAGAGATCCATTCACTTAAACTAAAGTTAGTGTGCGAAAACCAATGTGTCTTCAGACAACGCAGGACGAAGCCGGACAACGACAACGACAACAAGGACGCCAACGTCATACCAATATACGACCACAAAAATTTTTTTGCGGTCGTATAAAAATGTGTTTTTTGGCCCCTTTTTGGCCCCAAATTCCTAAAATATTTAATTACCTCCAAACTCAAACCCAGCTTTCCCTTTGTGATACTGAACCTTGTAGTACAATTTCAGAAAGATCCATACACTTACACACAAGTTATTGTCCTGAAACTAGAAAAATGCTTGTTTTTTGCCCCTTTTTGGCCCCTAATTCCTAAAATATTGAGGCAATTACCCCCATCATCAATCCCAACCTTCCTTTTGTGGTATTGAACCTTGTGGTAAAATTTCATAGAGATCCATTCACTTAAACTAAAGTTAGAGTGCTAAAACCAATGTGTCTTCGGACGACGACGACGCAATACTATACTTTTAAGAATTATCCCGTCGTTACTTTTGAACAGACGGTCGGACAGTTTTGAGCTTAATGAATAAAATGTAGAACTCGTCGAGAGGAACATTTTATACACAGTATGTATGCAGCAAACTCTTATCGTTTTCCTAATATGTAAGCTTGAAATTGCAGCGTAAATTTTTTTTGCACTCAGTGACCTTTGACCTTGGGTGCAAATTAAAGGTCACATGAAATAAAGATTATTGGTGAAGGTTCCAAGTCTCTACAACTTCCGGTTCTCGAAATAGAATTTTTCAAAAATTGTGTATAATTTTTCAAGGGAAATAACTCCTTATAAGGGTTAATAACAAAATAATTGTTTATGTTTATTAACATTGCCATCTGTTCTTGTACATGCTGCCATTTTCAATTCGATTCTATCTCTAATACCTTTTATGAAAAATGCAAATAAAAGAAATTGTTTCAAGGGGATATAACTCTCAAAGGGGATGATGAAATCCTACGCAGCCTCATATGGTAATACATCATGATGAGATCTACCTTCTGTACAAATAAGGTCATGATATCTTTAAAAACAACGAAGGGGGGCCATGTTGAAAAAAACCAATAAAAGGGAGATAACTTCTAAAGGAGATGATGAAATCCTTAACAGGGTCATCTGGTAATACTTCATGATGAGGTCTATCGATGGTTCATATTTGGTCTTGAAAACTCTAATAGAAACGAGGGAAGGGCATGTCAAAAAAATGTTGGAAGAAAAAAAAAGAAAAAAAAAAAACATTAGAAAAACAATAAGGTCTTTCCTAACGGAGTGGAAAGACCTTAAAAACAAATATGTACACATCAACAAACGACAACCACTGAATAACAGGCTCCTGACTTGGGACAGGCACATACATACAGAATGTCATGGTTCTTTCAATTCACTTATCTGTAACTATTTCCAAGTGCTTTCATTTTTTTGTTTATCAATGTCACGATTGGGTAAACTTCCGCAACAAACTTGAAAATTAATGAGCTTGCAATCAACAACCACTGTATGAAATATTATTTGTCGATAAAACATTGTAAACATGGTAAATGTGAAATAAATATAAAAATGTGCATGCAAGACTTAGAAATCAACCTATCAAACAATAGAATCTGACATTGTCCATTGTTTATTTCCTACATTGGTACAGCTGACTAAATAGTAAGCATTTTATTAAAGGAGTAAAACCTTGACGGACAATGTACCATACCAATAAACTCGATAACTGAATGTCGTCACCTGGGATAGGGCCGGGCCTTTACCATTATCAGGGTCATCAGTTTTATCAGGGTTCACAACAGGAAACCAAGCATTTATAGAAGTCTTGCTCCATAAATTTACAAAAAGTGTACCAATGTTATTGGTTACAACCTAAGTTCTATACGAGATGCTTGTACTTTTAAGTTTTTCAGAACTTCATGTATATACATCGGATACTTTAAAATATAACTGTATGACTGTACCAACCTCCATGAACATATGTACCAGTGTACAAGAACTCAAGTTGTAGAGTGCGTCATTAAATTTTACCTAATGTTCAAAGCTACATGTACAGTTTAAAATTAGTTGTACATGCAATTCACATATATAATATATATATATAAATATATATAATATATATATATATAGTATATATCAATGTTCACACTGTTAAAGAATTCCAAAATGTCTGTCATACCACTGACCACAGGGGTCGTCATGGTCGTATCAAAGATGTTTTTAGGACGAAAATATATATCTGCCATAAATAGTCTTGTACATGTATGAAGATCCTGCCTTTCAAAGGCACAACTGTGGTTTCAGAGTAAAATAAATGGTAAAATAAATGGTGTATTTAAACACCTACTAGAAAGTTTCACACACTTTTAAACAAAGGATAATTTAGATTTTTTAAATTTATGCCTTTGATTGAGTGATCGCAAGCAACCCTTGCTGTTAATTCATCCGTAGTGTTAATGATTGCATATACATTTTACGTCTAATGTGCAGAGCATATAGCAAAGTTTTTTCTTATATTCTACAAAATGAAGAAAGTCTGTACATCCACATTTATATTGACAGTAGCAGAGCAAGGCACTGGCTAGCTGAAGAACCGTAGCTCATATATGTCCTTATATTTTTTCTCATATTGTCAAAAAATATCATAAGGACCTATAAACTACAGTCAGTTAGGGGTACTATTTGTACAAGTAATTTTTATTTACTTGAAGAAGTAATATTAATATACTTTTATAAGTAAATTTGTAGGATACTACAAGTGTATTTCATTTACTTGTATAGGTAAAAATAAAATGCTTCGCTGGGGCGCAGCTTGATACGACCGCAGAGGTCGAACCCTGAACAGTTGGGGCAAGTATGGACACAACATTCAAGCTTGATACAGCTCTGAATTTGGATTGTTATTAAATATTTGACACAGCATAGGTTTCTGACACAGAAAGAATGTGGTCTAAGAACTTGAATTTTTATTAATTTACCTATTATGGTCCAATGTCCAAAATCAAAATACATGGTTAGATTCAGCATATCAAAGAACCCCATATTTTCAATTTTTGTTGAAATCAAACAAAGTTTAATTTTGGACCCCAACTTGGACCAACTTGAAAACTGGGCCCATAATCAAAAATCTAAACACATGTTTAGATTCAGCATATCAAAGAACCCCAATAATTCAATTTTTGTTAAAATCAAACTAAGTTTAATTTTGAACCCTTTGGACCTTAATGTAGACCAATTTAAAAAACGGGACTTAAAATTAAAAATCTAAATACATGGTTAGATTTGGAATATCAAAGAACCCCAATAATTCAATTTTTGATGAAATCAAACAAAGTTTAATTTTGGACCCTTTTGACCTCAATATGAACCAATTTGATAGCGGGGCCCACAAATAAAAAATCTAAATTCATGGTTAGATTCAGCATATCAAAGAACCCCATATATTCAATTTTTGTTGAAATCAAAAAAAATTTAATTTTGGACCCCAACTTTGACCAACTTGAAAACTGGGCCCATAATAAAAAATCTAAACACATGTTTAGATTTAGCATATCAAAGAACCCCATATATTCAATTTTTGTTGAAATCAAACAAAGTTTAAATACTGGACCCTATCTTGGACCAACTTGAAAACTGGGCCCATAATCAAAAATCTAAACACATGTTTAGATTCAGCATATCAAAGAACCCCAAGAATTCAATTTTTGTTAAAATCAAACTAAGTTTAATTTTGGACCCTTTGGACCTCAATGAAGACCAATTTTAAAAAATGGGACCCAAATTAAAAATCTAAAAACACGGTTAGATTTGGCATATCAAAGAACCCCAATAATTCAATTTTTGATGAAATCAAACAAAAGTTTAATTTTAGACCCTTTTGACCTCAATATGAACCAATTTGATAGCGGGCCCCACAAATAAAAAATCTAAATACATGGTTAGATTCAGCATATCAAAGAACCTCATATATTCAATTTTTGTTGAAATCAAACAAAGTTTAATTTTGGACCCAAATTTGGACCAACTTGAAAACTGGGCCCATAATCAAAAATCAATTACATGGTTAGATTCAGCATATCAAAGAACCCCATATATTCAATTTTTGTTGAAATCAAACAAAGTTTAAATACTGGACCCTATCTTGGACCAACTTGAAAACTGGGCCCATAATCAAAAATCTAAACACATGTTTAGATTCAGCATATCAAAGAACCCCAATAATTCAATTTTTGTTAAAATCAAACTAAGTTTAATTTTGGACCCTTTGGACCTTAATGTAGACCAATTCAAAAAACAGGACCCAAAATTAAAAATCTAAATACACGGTTAGATTTGGAATATCAAAGAACCCCAATAATTCAATTTTAGATGTAAAAAAAAAAGATGCAACATTTGCAGATATTTTTACTAGTCTTCCTTTATAAATATGAAGATAATTTAAAACAGTGTAAGGGAGGTAATCCAAATACAATGTTTTGGTTACTTCCCTTACACTGCTTTTAAATTATGTTTAAAGATTTCAATGATGTATTTGATTTATCTCCCTTACACTGCTTTAAATTATGTTTTGTACTAAAGTATTTGTCCATTAACCAGGACAACCTTGTTTTTCCCCCTTTTTTGTCCCTAATTCCTAAACGGTTTGAGCCATAACCCCCCAAAGAAAATCCTAACCATCCCTTTGTGGTATGGAAACTTGTAGTATAATTTCAGAGAGATCCATACACCGTTCCACAGTTATTGTCTGGAAACTAGAAAATGCTTATTTTTGGCCCCTTTTTGGCCCCTAATTCCTTAACTGTTGGTACCATAACCCCCAAAATCAATCCCAACCATCCTTTTGTGGTATTTAACCTTATGGTCAAATTTCAAAAAGATCCATTCACTTAAACTAAAGTTAGAGTGCGAAAACCAATGTGTCTTCGGACGACGACGACGACGCCAACGTCATACCAATATACGACCACAAAATTTTTTTGCGGTCGTATAAAAAAATGGCTTAGTTATGTCCCTTAGACATTCAGATTTTTTTACTTAT